CATTTTGACCAGGATGGTCTCGATCTCTTGACCTCGTGATCCACCCGCCTCGGCCTCCCAAAGTGCTGGGATTACAGGCTTGAGCCACCGCGCCTGGCCTAAGAATTCACTTTCATTCTTCTGTCTGTGACTTTCCAATTTTTCCAGCAGAGTTTATTGAAAAGTGTGACTTTTCCCCAAGGTAAGTTCTTGTTGGCTTTGCCAATGATCATTAGGCTCTTAGTTTATGGCTTTATTTCTAAGTTTTAATTTTGTTCCATTGGTGCTGTGGTCATTATGGCCATTTTAATAATACTTATTCTTCTGATCCATGAGCATGACATGGTTTTCCATTTGCTCGTGTCATGTTCAGTTTATTTCATTAGTGTTTTGTAGTTTTCCTTGAAGACATCTTTTACTTCCTTGAATAAATTTATTCCTAGGTATTTTATTTAATTATTAGCTATTACAAATGTGACTTCCTTCTTGATTTATTTGCCAACTAGATAATTATTGGTGTATATAAATGTGACTGATTTTTGTACATTGATTTTGTATTCTTCAAATTCACTGAGTTTATTTCTCAATCTAAGATAACTTTGGTAGTGTTGTGAGGTTTTTTTAGGTATAAGATTATATCATCAGCAAAGAGAGACAGTTTGATTTTCTCTTTTCCAATTTGTATACAATTTATTTCTTTCTCTTGCCTAATTGCTCTGGCTAGCACTTCCAGTATTATGTTAAATAAGAGTGGTAAAAGTGGGCATTCTTGTCTCGTTCCAGTTCTCAGGGGAAAGGATTTCATCTTTTTCCTATTCAGCATGATGTTAGCTGTGGGTTTGTTATACATGGTTTTTATTATTTTCAGGTATGATTCTTCCATACTAAGTTTGTTGAGAGGAATGTTGACTTTTATCAGCTGCTTTTTCAGCATCAGTTGAAATGATCATATAGTATTTGTCCCTCATTCTGTTCATATGATGTATCACATTTACTGATTTTCATATGCTGAACCATACATGCATCCCTGGTACAAATGTCACTTGACTGCAGTGCCTCTTTTTGATGTGCTTTTGGAGGAGATTTTTAATTTCTGGTTAAATCTCACTACTCATTATTCATCTGTTCAGGTTTTCTATTTTATTCTTGATTCAGCCTCGGTAATTTGTATGTTTCCAGGAATGTATTTATTTCCTTAAGCTTTCCAATTTTTTAGTGTATAGCTGTTCATAACAGTCTCTGATAATCTTTGTTTCTGTGTGAAATGTCTCTTTTTCCATTTCTGTTTTGGTTTCTTTGGGTCTTCTTTCTTCTTTGTTTGTCTAACTAGTAGTTCATCAATTTTGTTTATGTTTTGAAATAACCAATTTTTCATTTCATTGGTCCTTTGGATTGCGTGTGTTTTCTCTTTTGCATTTTAATTTTTAATTTAATTTTTTTAATTGCGTTATAGGTTTTGGGGTACATGTAAAGGATATGCAAGATTGCTGTGTAGGTAGACACATGGCAGTGTGATTTGTTGCCTTCCTCCCCATTACCTATATCTGGCATTTCCCCCATGCTATCTCTCCCCAACTCCCCACCCCCTGCTGTCCCTCCCCTATTTCCATCCAAAAGACCCCAGTGTGTGATGCTCCCCTCCCTGTGTCCATGTGTTCTCATTGTTCAACGCCCACGTATGAGTGAGAACATGCAGTATTTGATTTCTGTTCTTGTGTCAGTTTGCTGAGAATGATAGTTTCCAGTTTCATCCATGTCCCTACAAGGGACGTGAACTCATCGTTTTTGATGGCTGCATAATATTCCATGGTGTATATGT